TTTCAGCCCAAAACGTTGACTTTCCTGTTCTTCGGATGCTGTCTGATCTGCTGTGCTTTTCCAGCTTCACATTTATTGACTCTTGTTCCAATCTCTCTCTTAAAAGAAACCAGGACGAAAATACACCTCTTAAAGCCACAGCATCGTCACATGCCTAACAAAGATATTTAATTTGTGGAATTGCAAATACCACTCACTTCCTTTTGAGCCTCTAATCAGGAATGCTGTACAGATCCTTACTTCCCAATGGATGTTGCAACTGCCAGCTCATTTTCCAGCTCATTCCTCCTGCAGCACTTCCCTTACCAGGTTTGAATTGCTTTACCATTAAGTACAGTTTCTCCTTCGTTGATTTTATGAGTTTGTCTACAGACCAATTTTCTGTTCATATGCTGTAGGCAGGCACCTACTGTCTGTATGAGTTGTTGTTAAAACCATCAAGTACTTAACGATTGGAAGTTTCTACTCATGAGTCCATTGGAATGTTCATCACTGTTATCTTGTTCAAAGCAACCTTGTTACCTTAAGAAATGATGCTCGCTTGTTGATCACCATGTTGCATGGGCTGTGATGCCAAACACTGCCAGCTTGTGGTTGGGGTAGTCCGCTGTCACCATCCCCTTTCAAGGCTCTGGCTTGAGTCTGAAGGTCTACAGTGTGATAGAGGGACAATCACGCATGAGTTTAATGGAGAAGATCTAACCAAGGTTTAATTGATTGCGTGGTGGTAATTGGGTAAGGGAGATGTCAGTAAGATAAACATTATTAGTATAACTATGCGGATACCTAGGATATAGCTCTCCATTCTACAAGATACTGAGCTGTTCAGACTTTTCCCTATCATCTGTGTGACATCACAGACTCCGCTAACAACAGTGTGGGATTACCTACAGCACATGAAACTGCAAGTGATTCACCATCACCTTCTGAAGGGCAACAAGGGATGGGCAATAAATGCTAATCAGCCATAATGCCCACATCTCATGAGTGAATTTTAAAAAATTGGATGGAACTTAATGCAGTCTCTAATATTTAACTCTTTAGACCCATTACTTCACACAACACCACATTCTTCTACAAAGACTGCTGTAGGAGTTGTTGTTTGCACCTGAGAGCCTCATTTTAACATCTCACCTTCAACGGTGCAGCACAGCCCCAGCATTGCTAAGGCAGCATCAACCTGGATTTGGCGCTGAAGCAGGATCTGAACTCACAAACTTCTGACTGAGAAGCCCAGCAATGGCTGACTAGAATGGGTGGGTTATTAGTTCCTCCAATTGGCAAAACCAGAGTCAGAGGGCCATGTGACTTTGGAGCTCCCTGCCTCAGAATGCAGTGAAGGTGGGGTCATTGAATGTTTTTGTTGCAGTAGAGGATGGGTTGCCGTTCAGCAAGGGATTATCGGGTAGGGGGTTGGATGGGTCCTGAAATTCAAAATACAAACCGTTCAGGCATGCGCTAATTGAATGGTGAAGCAGACCGGAAGAACTGAATGGCCTAATCATCCAGTTTTGAATCTTCATAACCCCACTAATAGGAGGAGGTGATGGCCTAGTGGTATTATCGCTGGATTGTTAATCCAGAGACCCCGACAACATTCCGGGGACCTGGGTTCGAATCCCACCACAGCAGATGGTAGAATTTGAATTCAATAAATATCTGGACTTAAGAATCTAATGATGACCATGAACCCATTGCTGATTGTCGGGAAAAGCCCATGGTTCACTAATGTCCTTTAGGGAAGGAAAGCTGTCATCCTTACCTGGTCTGGCCTACATGTGACTCCAGACCCACAGCAACGTGGTTGACTCTGAACTGCCCTCTGGATAATTAGGGATGGAGTCAATAAATGCAGCCTGGCTAGAAATGCCCTCATCCGTGAATGAATAAAGGGGAAAAAAAAACTCCAGATCTGCAGATTGCATTTCCCTCCCATCTACACCAGACTGAACTCATCCTGAAAGATGGTAGTTTCCAAATGATTTCAGTGTCACATTACAAGTGGTACAGGAGACAGAGGACGTCTAGCCCCTTGAAGCTATTCCAGCTTGTAGTGTGAGCCATCTGTACCTCCACACCACTCAATGCCCCCATCCTCCTCACTCCAAATGCCTTGACATTCAATCCAAATCTATCAATCAATTGCAGTTGATCCTCAGCACTCACTATTAGGCAAGTGATTTTAGGTTTCTGCTTCCCTTAGGGGAGATCAATGTTGTTTAACCAAACACTGATGCACATTTCACATTTTACAACATGCATTCCCTGTTCCCTCTTTGTCGCTGTTTGCAGGTCATTACTAGAGAATGCCACAACTCAAAGCATTGAAGCATATTGACTCTCTGTTGTTAATTCATTTTCTGTGTACATTCTGGGTGTTCATGCAATGCGTGTGTGCGTGTGTGTGGATGTGTGCGTGTGTGGGGGGGG